TGTTTTCATAGAAAATCCTCCTGACCTCATTCAACTCCTACTCTGGCAAGAAAGCGTTTAGAATTTCTTCAAGACTGTTCAATTCAGTGATATGCTTAGCTGGTCAGATATTTTAGCTCAATGAAATCTATTGATTTTGTTTAGAAGATGATTGAGCGTACTTTAGTTAATTTTACAATTAAACTACTTTATCTTAATAGATGTCAATTTAAATATTGAGCTAGCTATTATCCGTAATAGTATTATTATTTATCTGAATTATTTTATAAGTTTCTCTTCTAGAAATTTTGATGAAGGCTTTATGCCAATTCTTTAGACTGGGTTTCCTTGATTCTTCTATATGCATCTAAAGCTGGAATCTTTTCGTATCCATAGCCATAAGGCTAAAGTGAAATATATTTTCCCAAGCCAGGAGTTGATTTTACAATTCCTCCTTCCAGATAATGATGTAGTGATTATGTGAGGCCTTTACACTTTAACTTTAACTCCTTCAAAATCTTAGCAGTATTAGCAGATGTATTCTCACAAAATCTGATGGTGTAATTACTCCTTTGCCAAATCCATTTGTCCAGATTACAGAAATTCTATCATCAACACCATTAAATCCATTAGGAATCTTATCAAAATAATCATGGCCCAATCTCTTCTTCGTCAGACTGAATGCACAATTATCTGCAGCAGTAGTATCAAGATCTTGAATAGCCAAGAGCCTCATCTCATATTCTTTCGTTTATGGATCATCATCGATGTTGGGAGACATTACAAATTTAGAAGCTGTATCCCAATATTCATCCAGTAATATCGACTATCAACTCCAAGACCAGTGGCAAGAGCCAAATACTTTTCTTTTAGCTCTAAAATTTTTATCAGCAGCAGCTCTTTTCATTACGTGGACTAGGAGCATTAATCGTGTTTAACATTTAATACATTTTTGCTATTGTTTTTACTCTAGGTGTAGCTTCAGCTTTATTTCAGAAAATGGATGACCGTCCGGCCCAGTAACCCCTAATTTTATAACTCTCTCTTAATTGTATTCAATAAGCTCACCGTTCTCAACATGCGCCATAATTAATACTCCAAGTTCTTGCATTTTTGGAAAG